CGACGTGTGGCGGATTTGGTGTTGACAATTTTTATCTCTGTATTGTTTAAATACTCACTGTTGATTGTTAATATATTTCTTATATGAATTGCATTATAATTCCGTTAAATACAAATTCCTGAATTCCGCCCTCTCTGTATTTTGGTTGGATTCTTGTAATTCGGTCATCTCGAAATACTAATACTACGATTACAAATAATTACAACAATGAGATAGAAAATATCCTACTCATATTTGGTTAAAAGTGCATCTTCTGACCGGGAGAAAGTCTTCTCACATAAAAAAGGGTATATTCACGACTTTTGTGTAATTACTTATATATATTCATATGAACTGTGAACAAAATTAGACCGAATAGTTTCAAAATAATTGGGCACCGAGTGAAAAGCAGACACATATGTAAAAATTATATTTGTAAAAGTCTCAGAGAAATTAAAATAAGTAATTCCAACGTTTAGTTGGAATGTGGTTAAGATACTTGGATAATACCTTCATCATAGTCAGGCATCAAGATTACTCCAGTGCCTAAATCAACAAGTGGACCTACTGTTAAGTGTAGACACATTGCTATTACCTCACCTTTTTTAAAAGTTATGGAAAGACTTATTTTACTTAATCTTGAACCCTTTTTAAAGCCTTTCAATGACCCCAACCAGTTTGCTTATAAACATAGTAGGTGTACGTTAGATGCCGCTGTTGTCCTACATCATAGTATAGTCTCTAGTTTAGATAGAGGAGCTAAATACGTCCACTGTGCCTTCCTTAATTACACATCCGCATTTGACTCCTTACCTAGGTCTCTCTTGCTAAGCAAGCTTGCTGCAACACAGGCTGAGAGCTGGACAAATAAGTGGCTGCATTCCTATTTTTCTGATAGGAAGCAGTACACCGTCTACAATGGAAAGTCCTCCACTACCTCACTTACTTTAGCTGGTGTTCCTCATGGTGCTGTTCTTCCTCCTTTTCTGTTTTCTTTTTCTTACATGACTTGCCTCATTCTGATGTAGCCACTTTTGTTAAGTATGCTGATGACCTCTCTGTTTCTATGCCTGTCAACTCTCAGTCAGATTGTTCCAATTTAAATAACTTTCTATCGAAAATTAGTCAGTGGTCCTCTTCAAACGGTCTTACGCTAAATCCATCTCAATGTCAGGTAGTCAATTTCAGTTTCAGACGTAAACGTGACCTACAACAACTAGTTAGGTCACATGGCCCCACTATCATCGACGGCACAGAGGTTGAAAATGCATCCAATGTCAAGCACCTTGGGCTGAGTTTTTCCACCGATCTTTCCTGGTCCTCCCACATCTTGCTAGTTACTAGAAAGATGTTTCGCTTAACGTTCTACATTAGGAAATTTAGGCAGTCTGGCATAAAGCAGTCTTTGCTTTCTCAGTTTGTCAATTCTTGTATTCTACCCATCCCCCTTTACTGCTCCCGATTAATCTTTCCTGGACTACTTAAGAAAGATTTTGCTGTGCTGAGAAGGGCACTAAAAGCCGTTAGTAGGGCAAGTGGGATAACGTTAAACCAACTGGTTAACACTATTGTGGATAGACATATAATGAATGTCATGTAAGAAACTAGCGAATACTATATTGTCAGACCCCGAGAATCCTCTCTATATGCAGCTCTCTCCTTGCATTTCTTCTGGTAGAACTAGAAGCAGCTATAAGTGGCTATATGTTAGAACTACCAAGTACAAAAGCTCCACAATACCATATCTGGCACAGCTGTTATGTGATAAGGAATCCGTTAGGTATGACACGATCAACTTACTGTGGCACTCAAACAAATAGTCACATTGGTTTTTGTTTTCCTTTCCTCGTTACTATTACACTGTTGTTCTTATCTTCTATTATACACCAATTTTATATTTCATATCCTGTGGTGCATTGTTTAAAATGTAAACGCAACGCTATTTTTCTTTATCTTTTTTTGGGTGTTGCTTTTTGAGTTTAAAATCTTATAAAATGCATGAGGTATTTAGATGCAATATATTGTAATGCACGCTGAAAATTCCATAACTGCACCACAAATACTGTTTGGAATAAAGCCGTTATTATTATTATAGTGTGTTGATTGCACCTTTTCATTTAATAAACAATATCTCAGAGACCATCAAGTTTTCCAAAGAGGTTGAATCCGACGAAGATAATTTGACATTCCTGGACTGTTTATTAACATCACAACCAGATGCTAAACTTAAAATAAACATTTTTAGAAAGCTGACACATTCGGACAGATACATTGACTACTTTTCAGCACAGCCCTTCACCACAAAAGTAACTGTGGCCGAGAATCAGATTAACAGAGCCAAACGTCTAGTTACGCAGGAGGAAAAGATCAGCAGGAAACTGAAATTGGTTCAAAACACTCTTCAATCAAATAACTATCCGGAAGCCATCACAAAAAGATATTTAAAATGTGAAGATAAGGATGAATCGAAATCTGTTGCTAAGAATTGGGTTAGCACAGGGTGATTCCTTACCGCATAAAAACATCAGCTGATATAAAGCGAATCCTCAACAATCATGACATAAAAGTGTATTTTCGTGCAACTAACACCTTACGCTCATCACTGGTGAAGGTCAAGGATAAAACGGGGGAAGACAACCAACAGAACTGTGTGTACCAGATCACTCGTGGGATCTGTGAAGCCGTATATGTAGGGGGAACTACAAAACAGGTAATTGTAAGAGTGGAAGAGCATAAACGATGTCTAAAGGTGGTCCCTAAGACCTCTACAGATTTGAAGAAGCTCAAAAATAGATCGGTGATTGCACTACACTCAATAGAAGCGTAACACAAGATCGACTTTGGTGGGACTAAGGTTCTACAGAAGTGTTTTGGTTCGTATAAAGAAAGAGTGAATAACTGCAGAAGCCCTGCATAAATGGCTGAACCCTAAAAGTCTGAACAGGCTTGAAGGTGTGATGTTAGCTGATGTATGGCAAGTCCTGATTAATAAATAAAACTGGATATTGATATAATCGCTAATCCATCATACTTGGTCTAAATCCCCGTTTGCGTGTATCTTCCTATGTCTACTTATCTTTCTTATGTAACCTAGACGGGATGGTGACAGTAGACATTCTCAGTCCATCATATAGAAGCAGAATTAAACAGCTTTAGTGTTGGTGCTAGGAATCAGAGCCAATTCCGAAGAGTTTTCCACTCTGAATGTTATTTCTAGAAAACATATTCTAAGCTTTTCTTTTTAATCTAGCCCTTTTACAAGTATTATTACCACCGACGATATTCCTGATTCTGATGGACTGGATCATGCATGCGGGACACCATACGTGGGGAGTAAGAAGACAGAACTACGTTGGTATGGCAAGAAGACTAAACAATGTTGACTTTGCTGATGATCTAAGTTTAGTGTCACACAAACTGAAACATCTGCAGGAGAAAACTAACGAGCCAGTAAGAGAGGCTGGTAGCAGTGAAGCAAGACTTCAAGTGAATCAGAGAAGACGGTGGTGATGAAGATACCTGACCAAGAACAACAACAACAACAGCAACGACCAGCACCAATTACAATCAACAGGGGAAATGTGAAAGGAGGATATGTTTGAATTCGTGGAATCAGTAAGTCAGCTGAATGTGACTGGGCCAACTATAGCTTCACTGGTCGTAAATTTCCTATTCACTAATGTCCACCAAACGGAAACTGTATTCTACCTATGTGAGTTTATTGACTCAAATAATCTGAATGTTAGTATGTACACTAAATATATCAAAGAATAGATCCTGGAGTGAACACTGAATACTCGGTGTGGACTCAATGGTCAAATATACCATCAAAAAGTTGAAGTTGCAATGGGTTCGCAACTAGGTCCATTGTCACTGATTACTTTATGGTGTACCCTGAGTCAAATATTCGTCTACCGACAATCAAACGGCCCGAAGTTAACAAGCGCTTCATGGATGATATCTTCATTCTCACCGATGAAAATACTGACCTAATCAAAACCCTCGAAATCTACAACAACGGCCGCCAATCAGTTGAATTCAATATTGAAACAGAAGCAGGAGGTGAATTATCCTCCCAAGATGTCCAGCTTGTAATACGAACAGATGGAAGCACTAACTGGTGCGGTTGTCTAAAGCATGACACTGAACTATCAGCAGCTTAATTCTCAAGCATAAAGCTACCTCTGGACGCACAACACCAGCAAATACTTCATTCGAAATCTCATATGCAAACAGATAAACCATGGATTATCCTTTATTGCTGATATGGTGGTCGAAATCTGGATCGAACATTCACCATTATATCAGAGTCAAATATGAACTACAACCAAGAAGTTCGAACAAACTTCACCTAAACCTTCTTCATGTAACCGAAGACTTAGTAATTCATAAGAAGAGTCCAGAACTTTGCGTGAAGAAAACTTTTATCCAGCCTCTATTGCTACCATGGCCTTAGCACGCTTATCTCCTTTCCTCCCTTATTTGTTTTCTTGAATAAATGTGGGTTAGACATTTGATGCATCATCAAAAACATTTCAAACAGGTTAGTGCAGACTTCTGTCAACAGTTGCCTTCCGTCCATTCTGAAGAACAGAAAGCTACAAGTCGTTAGCAGTAAGGAGCTGATGGCAAGAGATCAACCAAGAGACTACAGCCCAACAAGTATGCCGGGAAAAAGATGCGGATTAACAGGACACACACAGTGAGAACATCTTTGAGTGATATCACGACGCAGCACGCACACCCTCCATTGGAACCCAAATAGGAAACCACGAGTTAGGTGTGTATCCGACAGTGACATATAGGATGTCATGTGAAGGAGCAATCAAAGTATACACGCAACCGTGGGGCCAGTTAAACTGAACTGCGACCAACGGGAAAAAATGGAGATGTGCTGTTGAAGACCTATATTTCACCAGGAACCTAAAGGAATAGTAATAATAATCATGATATTTAGACACGTGATAAAATGTAATTTTATGTAATGTAATCTTTATTTCAGATAAAAATATAAGTAGTGAATAGCAATAAACACAATCGTGTACACAAAATAAATCTTCGTTTATCAATCGATAGATATCACAAGTGCATTATGTACACATTTATACAAGTCAAGGACGTTGTAAATCAGATATTAAACAATAACAGTAATCTGTAGAAAAGATGAGATTTTATTCATCAGAAGTCGAGCTAACTGATACAGTTGAAAGCGGGAACGCAGATAGTCCTAATACCGAAGCCGTCACTGGTCCGGGAGCTTTAGAATTCAGAGATTTCTCTTGCACCCAAGAAGGAAGAGACACAAGATCACTTAATGGTTGTTTCACACGGAAATTAGTCAAATTATGTGAACCATTTGGAAACTTTGTCAATGAAAAACTGTTGCTAGTTGACGGAATCAAGCACATGAGACTTTCAATTTGTGAAGTGGAATTCTTTTCTGAGATTTCAGAAGTATTGGTTCTAGAAACAGGTAAGTGGTTCAGTTTCTTCAGCTTCCGTTTCAATTTCCCAACTCGCCGTCTATCAAGAGTCATTGTGCAACTGTTCACCTGATCAGAGTCGGAATGCTCCTCCTCACTACTACATTGACAGACAATATTCTTAATAGGGGAGTTAGCAACAGTATTACTGGGTAAATAAATGCACACCTTCTTTATCGAATTTTCTTTCTTCCGGTTTATAGAGACAACGATACCAACAGACGATAACTGGGATCCACTTTCTGATATCTCATCAGAATTGTTCTCAAGAGAATATATCGACTCTTCATTATGATCATCTTGGCAACTTGAATCCTTCAAAGGTGAATCGCGATTGTTTGTGAAAGCACCTGGGCTTTTTGAAATCCCATCAGAATTAGACGAAGGAACAGGGTTACCTGTATTGACGTCATCATCTTCCGTAGGTTCAGCTGTGTTAGGCTGTGAAGACATATTCTCAACATTATTGATTGAAACATGCAAAGGAGATGGTATGTCCACATCAGCGTTTGATGGAACAGACTGCGCTTCAGATTCATTACATTCACTACGTGATGAGACCAACATAAGACTGTCTGATAGTTTATTCGGTACGGATGAAAAGTTTTCCAAATGAGTACATTCCATTGTTCCACTCACACTAAGCGGAGCACTCTGAACCAATGATTCACCTCGGGAATCAATTGACATTTGCAAAGCACTTCCACATGAATCACTTGCATTAGTAACGACCGTTAACGTATCACTGTTTTTTGACACCACAGAACTGCACACCCGAGTCGGTTGAGGAGAACACTGGCTACGGTTAACTTCTTTCTCACAATCATATGAATTTCTCATAGATCCCTTTTCTCTGCAGGCAACATCAACTTCAGTAGGACTATTATTACAAGCATTTCCTGATGATAAGGGATTTGAAAAACCCTCAAGTGATGGCACATCATCCACAACAATCTCAGTAACTAACTTTAAAGAATTCAATTCTGAATTATCAGTAGTACTTTTACTCACCGAAACAGGAGATTTGGACGAATTCATCACCTCTGTGGTTCGAAGAGAATTAGAATCTAAAGATGAGGAGGTGTTAGGTGACATACTTGTAACATTCTTTGAACATGTTTGGTTAACAGCAATAAGTAACCTTGTCTGAGGAATAATATTAGGGGAACACGGGTTACTGGAGTGTGATACAGAAGAGTCCACTCCAGCACATCGATCACTGAGCAGTCTCACATTAGCATCATGGACATCATCACGTGAGACACGCCTTTCACTTTGACTACTGCTGCTGCTACTGACTTTCGGAGTGTGCGACAACACATCTAATGATGCTGACGATGAAGAAGAAGCATTTGAAATTTGACGACATTTCGATGAAAGGTATTTTGACAAATTCAAAATATACTCTTTCGCATCATGTCTGAATATTAGACGTGATAATGGCCGCAGAAATCTTTCTGAACAACAGTTGTACCAGCATCGGTCACGTGGTAGACAGCTACAGGCAATTTCTAGTGTCCCCTTCAACAGACTGTCAGATAACCACCGGACAACAAACAGTGGTGGTGACTCTGAATTTACCAATGGATACTGAGACAGATGAGCAGAGTCTCGTGATGATAAACCCCTCAATGTAAAAAGACGTATATCAGCTAGGGGGACTCGATGACAATATATCCAACAGTGTCTTAATACTTGCAAGGCAATATTCTGGTGTTTACGATTTGTAAGTAACAAATATAACACTCGTATTACATCGCCAAGTAGTAAATGAGATTTCATTTCATGTCTAAAAGAGAAAATCAAAAACACTCAACAAATGAACTGTGCATGGGTGTGTGTGTGTGAGTGTGCATATATATGATGAATAAAGATAGAAATATCCGCCCACTCAAATAACACTAAACACCGAATTCCAGTGGTACTTACCCTGAAACTCTCCTCCAGATAACATGACCACTTGTCACAAGTCATCTATGATCACAAACTTATTGACATCAAGTAGATTAAAGTGCACTGCTGCATACTTCATCTCACACTTTCAAGCACCACGAATATCATCAAGTGTGAGAGGAAGTCAAGAGATACGCCCACAGATTTCGTCAACAGCTAGTTCTTCTAACCCAATGGGCAACACATTTCGCGACTTCACTGCACATCCTTGAAATAGGGGTCAGTGATATCCAGTCGTCTAGCATTATCTAGGATTTCATACCCACTCACTTACTCAGTTCCTTGAAAAGCAACACTGTCTACTCATAAACAACAAGTCCACACGAGCTTTCATACAACTGACTGCATCAGTTCCACTAGAGTCTATGCATCATTGTTAACCAGCCATATTTTCTAGGAACCCTATACTGTCATGTGTAAGTACAGACTAGATCGACAGTGTGCCAGTCAGAATAGCAATTGTAAACATATTGATGAGTCAGATAATCAACCGATCAGATTTCAACAAAACAGTCAACGCCTAAACATCAGTCAGAATTCACCACTACTTCTTCTGCTACCAATACAAGTAGCCTAGAGGGTAGAGGGTATGAAAACAGAAAAACAACCAATCACGTGCAACGTCCCCAGGAGAGATGACTAATGAACTCGTGGAGAAGTCGAAAAGCTCACTTCAAAACGAAGTATGGGCTGAAGATGTGGGGCAATGAAAGGCTTTGCAAATTAACCATCCAGACCAGTAAACACAACTACATCATAATAACCATTGGTCTCCGATACAGTAATCAAACTACCGCTTTTACTCGCAAGTTTGGGAATAATCCTTTACTAATAATTAGTGCATGAGTGTTCTCCAAAATATCAGTTCACAACAGGGAAAATCTACTAGAAAATTTATCGAACCTTCATTATGACAAACCGAATTCGTGTGTAGATTCAGCATTTTAGCGACGGAGAAAACTATCGATCCTACCATAAGTGGAATTATTAGTAGACATACAAATGAAATTCATGGAAACTCTTATTATCATCACCACAGAAATTTCTTCAACTTCATCACCACCACCAGCACACTTGGTCCCGCCACGGCACCATCTGACTGATGCAGTCACAAATAGCATTATGAAATTCAATTATCAATCCACATCTGATACATTCCAACGACTTTACGAAGACTTCGCAGCACAATGCTCTGAAGATATGACTGTCACTGCATAAGCTGGGTGACATATAACATGATAAATATTGTAACCTTATTCTCCCTAAAAATCCATGTGAAAAGCATTTTGATGGCACAGTCAAGTCACACAGCCAACAGCTTGAAGATCATTCCTCATCGTCCAATACACGATATCAATGTCAGCGATAATGCTGACACGCAAAGTCATGAGGGTTCAGTCAATACGGAGTGAGAAAGATTTCGACTCAAGAAGTTAACCGAGGATGACCTTAAACTCCTCATCTCTCATATGCAGCCTTCCATCTCCAAACTCCAAAGATATTCCAACATCACTGCTTTAATCGGCTGCAACAAGTCCCGAAATTAATCCTGAACGACACAGCAGATGAGTATTAGTGGTCTAGTTTGAATCAGAGATTTTCAGAATGACTGACATCTGTGCATCCATGAGTTCAAGCAGGACCGAAAGTACTCCATTATAAACACGCTGACTAGTCAATTATTGTAACAAACACTTTAGAGTCACATGAAAGTAAGAAGGAAACAACTACAAAATAAGTAATGACTCACTTCTCAGATTGCGATGCATACGTACAAACACAATACGGCATTCTTAAAAGTTTAGCTTCTTCATCTCCAACCAGATCAAGTGATGTTCGAGATTCATTCGACTTTATCGACTCAATTGAAAACATCAACGTATCCAACAGGACCATGATCTCATTAGATGTCACATCACTATTCACAAATGTTCCACTGACTGAAACAATATGCTATATATGCGAACTTATTGATTTCAAAAGAATAAACATCGGTATACCCACCGAGCGTCTTAAAGAACTCCTTCTGAGGTGTACCCTGAATGTTCAATTCTCTTTCAACAACGAAATATATCGCCAAAAGGATGGTATAACTATGGGCTCACCACTAGGCCCATTACTTGCATGGCAAAACTCGAAAACACATGCATGAAGAAAATGATCGATACCTTCGGAATCTAAAAGAGATACGTCGACGACACTTTCATTATCGTCAACAATGAAGAGAATCTAGACGACATCCTGAAGTCGTTTAACAACTGCCACCCCGCAATTCAGTTCACGTTGGAAAAAGAGTCCAACTCTAAAATATCCTTTCTTGACATACAACTAACAAGACGAGAACAGGATGGAACACTGAAAATATCTATCTACAGAAAGTCAACATGGAACGGACAGCTTATTAACTTCCACAGTTAGGTACCCCTATACACCAAACGGAACCTCATCCGTTCACTTAGCTACAAAATTCGCAGAATTTGTACCCCGGACACAGTAGAAGATGAACTGGACAATCTCAAGAGAATCCTCGTCGAGAATTGTTACCCAGAACGATTTATTGCAAAATTTATGAATCCTAGGCCACAAAAGCCGTCCATGCATAGCGTCTCGGAGAAACCGCTCTACATGAACCTTCAATTCAATGGAGATATATCTGCGGAAACACTAAAAAATCGACTGTCGCGCTCACTCAAGAAGACCTTCTTCGCAGCTGAACTACGACTAACTTTCTCCACAAAACCTATGATTCATGTGAACGTGAAGGATAAGCTACCACTGTTGGCCTCATCAATGTGTATTTATCAATTCACCTGCTCGTGTGGAGCCAGGTATGTCGGCCGTGCCCAGCGCTCGCTTTCCAAGCATATCACCGAACACTTACCAGCATGGTTTTACAAAGGAGAAAAACGATGTCCCCGCAGCTCCATCTTAGAACATCTGATAGAATCCGGACACCAAGCTGCACCCCAAACAAACTTCAAAGTAGTCTACAGAGTAAGAAGTAGTCTTCCTAAAGGTGTACGAATCAGACTTCTTCAAACTGCAGAAGCAATGGCGATTCACTTGCTAAGCCCTGAACTCTGCATACAGAAGAAGTTCGTTCAATCACTACACTTACAATGGACTTAATCTATCTTATTACCTGAAAAGTAAATTCTACCTAATCTTTTTTTCCTTTTTTTCTTCTGTCTCTTCATTGGTATTATTCTGTCTTCTTAATTGTAATATTTTGCATTTTCAACTTTCTTGTTCTCTACCCCCACCCGATTTAATTTCTACACCTCACTACCACTTTAATTGATCTGACCAACGCTCAATTTCTAGTCATTTATGTTACGTCATCCAACTTAATTGCTCAATTTCAGTTCTAATTTAAATGGCATTATTATCTACCCCACTTCTACTTAGCCTCTATCTGTAATTACCTCTGTTGCTGCCGTGACCTAAGTTAAAACATTTTAGTCAATTATATTACGTCATCTAACTTACTAACTCAGTCTTACTTTAGTTGCTGTCCAATTAACCTTGTTTCTGTTTTAGATCATTCTTTTCTTACCTGATGAATTATCTAATTTTGACAAACCTCATGTACACACACACACACAAATATTTATATATAAATGCGATTGTACAGCTATGTGAATGAATTCGCCGAAAAGAGTCTCTTCGCTGAACGTTTTCTCTTTTTCATATGACTAAATGGGAATTTTCAAGCTACTTAAACGTTGAAGGTGAAACTGTTTATGATTTCAGATTTATAGGTAGTTTGCACTTACATATGTATGGAGTTCTCCATCAATTAATGTGGGGGTATCAGGTTGTGTTTTATTTCAGTTTCTATAAGACATTTGGTTATCCTTGTGAACCTTGTTTCTTTTCAGGTTCACGAGGGGATATGCGAATCATGTAGGTTACTGAATATTTTTACAAATTGTTTATAACCCATTTGATCTTATTATACGTCTGTAAATTGCTTACACTAGGCTGAAGATAACAGTGATAGAACTCTCTCTGTCTCTCTCACACACACCACGATAGTGTCACGGAAATTCGAATGGAGCTTCTCAGAGGGTGTTTTCGGAAATTCCCTTGAAGCTTGTGGTGTGCTGAATAAAGGTCGTCGTGGAGAGCAGAAAGCTGTTGGACAGCTCGAGCTAGCCAACTTGCTTGACTCATTCTCATCCAACTTTAATTGTGTGAAGATGTTATTACTTTTACTTGTTTAACCATTCTCCTTAAAGTTGACGATATTTTATAATGAGACTAAGGTCGGTACGGTCGGAGAGATGGACCATTTCGGCACGGTGAGATTGTAGAAGTGCAGAGTTTTTGAGTTAAAACACTTCACAACAGTGTCAGTCACCAAAATAATAAAAATATTGAAAAAAAATAAGTCAGCAGAGTCTGCTGAAACGCTGACAGTCTTGAATATCACAAAGAGTAGTCACAATGTGTCGTGCAGATTGCCCGTCCTCACTAGTTGGCGAACTGTTTACTACTGAAGCTGAGGTGTGTATATGGTTTGAACCTATATCTCGAGACCCATCCATAGTGTGGTGTGTACCTTGAATAAACCGCCTTTACTTTCGCTGCAATGTATCACTACTTCAGGTTGCATTCATAGGTAGATCGTAGTGAGTGGAAGATTCAACCACATGAGTTACCCTAGGCCTGTATGTATTCAGGTCATTTTGAATAAACGTTTCTAATGTAACGTGTCTCTCTGTAATCAGAATTCACATCGAAGAACCTTATTGACCCAAGCATTTGTCACTCTCATTCTTCATGTTTCTTAATCTGGGATTTGATGTCGTGACATGTCTCCTACTTCGACGAACTTTTCCTCTTGCTAAACTCTTTTGTGTACGTAACTTTGAGATTATTGTTGTGATCTGACAACAATGTTCTGTGAGAGTTCAAATATGGTGTATCCACCTTAATCTATAAAGATTTTATTGGATCATTGCTGGTGTCCACCTTCAAATTGGATGATTTTGTACCCATAAATAAAAGATTATAAGAAAATTTGAGTAGCGTCATGAACAGGAGGATTCGCGAATTAAGAATTTCCAGGAGGTCTTTTCATTACACTGTAGTAACGTAGAAACATCCTTAAACTGTTCAATAGTGATGATGACATTTTACTCTGAGATGCTGTGTCATCACTGTAACTGTTGGTGTCTCTTCTGGTTTTACAGTATCACATTTTGTAATGATTTATCAGAATGAGCTTTAATACTCTTTCGAGTGTGTTCACCTAATCTAGTTTATCGTTAATTTCATGTGAAAAATCGGGTTGTCTGCTGAGTTATTTATCATTGTGAACGTTTTAATTCTTTGTAAATTGTGATTGAATTGTTTCAGCTGAACCACTTCGTGAAATTTCGTCTTCAGTGAGAAGAAATAAGCGTGGTAAGCGTTCTCGACGTTTCCAGACTAGTTGTGAAAAGCAAAGAAGACTGTCGTCTTCAACAGAATCCAGGTCACTGCCTACGACTGCATCTGTGAGTAAATATTTATTAATTCTCTTATGATTTGATATGCAGTATGCTAAGCGTAAATGAGGACTGAGTTTGTTTCTGTTGGTGGACAATCTGATTTCTTCTGATCTACTATTTTGAATCATGTATATGCGTTTCCTAGCTGACAATGATCGCATGTTATTGCACTAATCTGTTGAGAATTATGCTCGAGTCTTTTGAAGTACTCTATCTCATATGGAAATATTATAGATGTTTTAAATTCCTTTTGTTACCATTACTGTGTGCTCTTTTAGTAACCCACCTGTTTCTGAACCCTATCCAAGTAAGAAATCTAGAGGTTGGCTGCACTACAGTACGGCTATGTGATCATACAGAATCACAAAGTGATGGCTATAAATGCCTGTTTAGCCGAGAGGAAGGAGGTATTGATGATAGCGCTTGCTTTGTTTATCGAATCAACTGATGGAGAATACGCTCAAAGTGACTTCGTTAAATTCTCTATTTGGACATGTGAAAAGTCTCACCACTAGTGTGGTGGTACATGAGAGAGCCAGAATTCCAAGAATAGGTCTAAAGCGGGTATAGTTCCATTTGTAATATTACTGTGAACGATATATATTTTGTGTTTAAGAGGTCATGCGCTTAAATGACTCTGTTTCATGATGCAATGTATATTGAGTGTCGAAGACAAGAGACTTGGTAAGGGAATGTTTATTAGGAATTTGGTGTGTTTATTTAGCGAAATTGTGTACACCTTATCTGCAAACGGTGATTTTCTCAGATCTTCTTTGTTGTGATACTTCTGCCTCACTTCATATTGTGCTTTTTGTCTTCTTTTCGTGTCTCGCATGTTTTGTCGCGACACTGAATCATTTACTCTCTTTGACGTCAAATTTCTCTCTCTGTCCACTGTTCAATATTCGTAAGTCGGTGAACGTCTCTCTATATACAACTGGTAAATCTCATCAGCAGACATACCACATTCTTAAGTCCCGTTCAACAACAAAATGTAAATGCAGACTACCTCAACGACTTTGTATTCAGTCTGTTAACTAAGAGGGATTTTACACTTTCCGCTAACTTCATGATCAGGTTCTACGGTTATATATCCAAGATAATGAGAGAATGATTGTTATTGGCAACATGAGTGTTTTTTAAGGGTGACAAGGAATCATTTAAGTCAGAATCGTAAACGTTATTTGCAAATAGATTGTTATAAAAGATCATAGTGCAATATATATGTATGTTCCAATAGGTATAATTATAACATTAACTGATGGTCCTTAATAAATTTCTGTTGAACTGGAG